TTCCACTCTTATGTTCAGGTCTTTTTGTATATATTGTAAAGTAAGGATCCAACTTCATGAATATCCAGTTTTCACAAGACTATTTTTTGAAGACTGTTCTGCATCCCATTGAATAGTCTCAACAGCATATCAAGTAACTGAGAGTTTAATCTGGGCTCTGTTGTATTCCATTTGCCTGTCTGTCTTTATGCCAATACTACATAGTTTATTTAGATCACTGTAGATTTTCAATAAATTTCACAGTCAGAAAGTATAAGCAATACAAATTTGTTCTTTTCTTTTTTTTGGCTATTGAGCCTCTTCAAAGTCTATATAAATTTCAGTATTGGTTTTTACTGTTGCTGCAAAAAACATCTGGCTGCCTGTGGCAGCCCAGTTTCTTCTGATTGGGAAAAGAGAAACCTAAAAATAAAGCAACGTGCCATCTCTTGGAAAATATGAAAAGTACAGATCTATCCATTTACTATTAAATAAACAAGTGCAACAGAAGGAACATTCAAATAATATGAAAAAAATCACAGCAACATGGAATGATAAAAAGGAATGATAAAGGCCCATAAATAAAACTTAAAAACACATAATTTTGTGATCTAATGTAGAATTTAAAACAGTTACCAGAAAGAAATGCAACAAACTAGAAAACAAAAAATAAAAACAGAAAAGCAATTCAATGGGCTTAGGAAGGTAATTTAAATTAAGAAGTGTTAAGAGTCCTTGACCAAGGAGACTGAGCCTATTTTTAAAAATCCTTAATATGGTAAGTGTTTTTATGTATATTTTGCCACAATAAAAAAATAATAATGACAACTTCCAGATATTGGTATTATATTAAGCATGAAGTTACATTCTGTGATTGAAAATATTCAAATGTATAAATTAGTATTCCCCCAAAAGAAAAACTGCATTCTATAAACTAACAATGAACATGCAGAAACTAAAATTTAAAGCATAACACCATGTACAAATACTCCAAAATAATTTCTCAGGTATATAGACTTTTAAGTAAATATATGTATGTGTGAATGTGTGTGTATATGTATATATATATGTATATATATGTATATATATGTATATATATATACATACACACATATAGCTTCAGCATACATTTTCTCTGTGTGTGTGTGTATATGTGTATATGTGTGTGTGTGTGTGTGTACACATACACACAGAAGCTGTATGCTGAAAGTTACAAAAGAAATGGGAGATATACCATGTTCAAGAATGGGAGCTGTCAGCAGAGTAAAGTTGTCAGTTCTTCACAAATGACCACCACCTCACCAATAAAGAATAGAGAAAGCAGTTAGGAAAATATGTGGGTGTCTCAGGGAACAGGAGCCTCAGGAAAGAAAGATTCCTTATGAGCTCACCCCTCCTCATCACAGCCAACACCACCTCAATTCTTTCTTTGCTATAAAAACTCAAGAAGCTTGTCACTTTTCCAGCATCCAGAGATGAATGACAGTCCTCAGAATTCTCAGCAGGCCTCCAGCTGGAAATAAGGGGGGTTGGGGGTTAGTGTGGCTAAATACCCTTAATCTAGCACTACTAGATTCTCATATTAAGTGCATCTTTACAGGAGTACAATTAGTGGGTGTCAACTGAGAAATATCAGGTTATTAAATAATCAACCAATTGTTCATTTAACACTAGGGATCATTATCTGGACCACCACCAAGGGGGCTGTCCTATGTGTTCCACAAGGGACAGGAAAAGAGAATTTTTTTTTTCATTTAAAGATTTATTTAATTATGCCCACAAAACTGGGGTATAGGCCAGAGGTACAGGAGTGGTGAGAGGATTCACCAGAGACAGAGAAGGGAGCAGAATACGCAGATTGACAAAGTACACTGCTGAGGGGAGCAGCGGGTGGGTCAGGAGAGGTCTGCTGTGCCATGTGGGTCACTTCCCTGGCTGGGGATTGAACTCATGCTGAAGCTGCGCTTTGTAGTGCTGTGCTTTAATCTATTGCACAACCAAGGAGGGCCCATGAAGGGAGAGTTTAAAGTAGGGAATTGGTATAAGCTAAGTCAACCACTTTGACTTTTTTCATTAGTTCTTAAGTAACTTTTTTTACTGTAACAATTACCTTTTTTTTTTAAGCTATGCCAAATTCTTTATTTTTTAATTTATTTTTACATCATTCTTCATTTTGTGCCTTTTTCCATAATTTGTCTTTGCTATTGATAGACAGAAGTCTTCAGACAGGAGACTGTAGCCTGTGGTCTTTGAAGCCATCATCAGATGAGCTCCTGTTTCTTTTGTAATCAACAATAAAGGAGAAAACAGACAATCGCTGAGGCAGGCAATTCACTCAGAAGTCTGAACATGGCACCTGGAGGCAAAACGAAGTCTGTTTGATTTGAAATAAATTCCACTTGGAAAAAAAATCACTTTAACTAATGAGAATTTCATGGAATTTCTTCTAAATTGAATGCCTGCCTTGAAGTGGATAAGAATCAAAATTAGGGACTTTGTTATCATTTTTTATTATTATTATTATTGTTCATACAGAACTGGGGTACAGGCCAGAGGCTCAGGGGCAGCGAGAGGCTTCATCAGAGACAGAGTAGGGAGCAGACCAGGCAGATCTACGAAGTACACTGCTGAGGGAAGAAGCTGGTAGGTCAGGAGAGGTCTGCCGCACCATGTGGTCTCCTCCCTGGCACACGGGAATCAAACTCATGCGGAATGGCTTTAGTTTCTCAGTGCTGTGCTTTAACCCACTGAGGGCCCTTTTGTTATCATTTTTTATTATTCATTTAAGACATAGCCAAGAGTTTACTAGTAAAATAAAAGCTTCATTGATAGTCCTTTTCAAAGAAATCTTCCAAAATAAAGTACATTCTATCAAATAGGCCATTAAAAGACTTCAATCATTAGTGAGATTTTTTTTTAATTATTACAAAAGTTTTTTACATCATTTTGCACATTTTTTTTTCCCATCTCGATTGTAATCCCC